AGAGAGAGAGAGAGAGAGAGAGAGGGAGAGAGAGAGAGAGAGAGAGAGAGAGAGAGAGAGAGAGAGACAGAGGCAGAGAGAGAGAGAGACAGAGAGAGAGATAGATAGATAGATAGAGAGAGAGAGAGAGAGAGAGAGAGAGAGAGAGAGAGAGATTGTGAGTGGGTGAGTGTGAGTGAGTGGGTGAGTGTGAGTGAGTGGGTGAGTGTGAGTGAGTGGGTGAGTGTGAGTGAGTGAGTGAGAGAGAGAGAGAGAGAGAGAGAGAGAGAGAGAGAGAGAGAGAGAGAGAGAGAGAGAGAGAGAGAGAGAGAGAGAGAGAGAGAAAGGTGAGAGTGAGGACGAGTGAATGAGATTGAGTGAGTGTAAGATAAGTAGATGGATAGAGCGAGAGAGATTGAGAGTGAGTGTGTGTGTGTGTGTGTGTGTGTGTGTGTGTGTGTGTGTGTGTGTGTGTGTGTGTGTGTGTGTGTGTGTGTGTGTGTGTGTGGGTGTGTATATGTGTGTGTGTGTGTGTGTGTGTGTGTGTGTGTGTGTGTGTGTGTGTGTGTGTGTAAAAAAGAGAACAACGAGAGAGCGAGTGCCAGAGAGCGGGAACAAGAGCGAGAGCAAGAGAGCGATTACCTCCCAGTCTGTCGCTAAGGTCTCCCCACGCAGGCTATGGGCGTGTCCGAGGAGACCCCGACGGAGCTCCCCGCGGAGTACCAGCGGCACCAGCGCGTGTGGCTCGGCGGCCTGACAGCCCGATCGGCGAAGGTCGTGCAAGTGACGCAATCGCGAACGGCGAATAACCACAGAGAGTTGTCCGTCGCCCGCGGAGAATACCTCGAAGTGCTTGACGACAGCAAGAACTGGTGGAAAGTGGTGAACGTTCTCGGGCAGGTTGCGCACGTTCCTCATACGATAGTGAAGCTTTACGCGGCCGAGCGAGATGGCGACGAAGGGCAGCATCAGCAGCATCCCGGTCCTTCTCCTCCTCCTCCTCCTCCACCTGATCCTTCGCTGTCTCCGGGCGAGGAAGGTGAATGAGTGTCTCTCCCAAAGCCTGGTTACCTAACTGCCTTTGGTGTTGGTGCTGGTGGTTCACGTTTCCATTCTCTGCTGGACTCTAAGCGGGATGCCGGAGGGACAGGAAGACCAAGCGTTAATATCTCAAATTCAAAAGTCCGTTATGGAGGCCAAGCGTTAATGTTTTCAAATTCAAAAGTCCGTTATGGAGGCCAAGCGTTGATGTTATCAAATTCAAAAGTCCGTTATGGAGGCCAAGCGTTAATGTTTTCAAATTCAAAATCCGTTATGGAGGTCAAGCGTTAATGTTTTCAAATTCAAAAGTCCGATATGGAGGCCAAGTCTTGTCATGCTAATTCAAGACAATTTTAAGCCTCAGTTATTTTAACATTTCACTCTTTCGTTTGCTTCATTGAGGCGGATCAGTGCGAAAGAAGGAATAAAAATTCAAGGTAATAATTCTAATGATTTCTAAAATAATACCAAGTATCCTGAAACTAGGAATCCTGGTATCATATTCTTTCGGTCAGAAAAGAAAAAAATAATGAAGGGGAAAATGAAGAAGAGGTTGATAAAGAAAGCATGAAGGTCCAGGAGATATATTTTGTAATAATACAAAAAAGAAAAAAAAAAGGAAAACAAGCCTCCATGGTCGATTACTATTCAGGCGATCCCCCAAATCGTGAACCAGCAGTGGGTTGCTCAAAAGACACATTGAAAGCGAGAGAGAGAGAGAGAGAGAGAGAGAGAGAGAGAGAGAGAGAGAGAGAGAGAGAGAGAGAGAGAGAGAGAGAGAGAGAGTGAGTGAGAATGAGGGAATAAGAGAATCCTCTCTAACAAACTGCTGCCACCATTTAAGAGGATTACAGCACTGCTAACCGCATACATCCACCGCTGAGAGGTTGTCACACAGCACTGCTAACAGGGAATTCCCCAATACTAACCCGGGCCGACGACAGACAACATGTAACTTTCTCTGACAACACCCTTATCACCACAGGTCCTGTCAGCGGGGAAAACAGGCCCACTTCCAACTGCAGGATGTCCAAAGAAGATCCTAAAGGGGATGGACAGATCAACCCGGGTTTCCAGGGCGATTCTTACGTTGCCAGGGACACTGTGCTGCCCATGACGGATATCGTAGACACGGTGAGTGGTTGTTTTTGAGGATTTGTGTTTAATTTTTTTTCATCTTCTCTCATTTTGTCTTTTTTTTTTCTTCCACTTGTCCACTTTGTTTTTTTTTAAATTCTCATTTTGACCCTTTTCTCTTTAATATCCACACCCACTTCCATCCTTCTCCATCTCTCCCAGTGTTAATGAATCCCATATCCTGTGGCCTTCCCACAGGTGAAAACAACTTTGTTATGACCACGCCAGAGAGCACAGTCATTGAGGCTCGCTGTTATTCATTCCCATCCTCATGCGCGCTCACACGTGAGGGGTGTAGACGTATCTAATTATTTCGTTTTTTCTTTCTCTGCATCTACAAGTA